AACTTCAGAGCATCGACCTCGACAGCTCAATGGTCAGTCAGCTGGACTTTCTGCTGAACAAGCTGCCGCTGGTGCTGCTGCTGGCCACCCTTCTTCTGGCCGCCCTTTCCCTTCTCCTCCTCAGCTACGCCCTCTTTGTGGCCTTCTTTGGTCAGATGGTGAGTGCTTGGTTGAACTCCATTTAGAGAAAGGAAGTTACTTAATCTATCTTGTTTTGTTCTCAATTTGCAGTTCCTCGGCATCCGCCAGAGTATCGCCAAGTACGAGAGTGTCTCCATTCTGCCGAACAGCGACTGCAAAGATGGCGGTCCTGGCGGAGCCTCTTCCTCTTCCTCCTCTGACTACTGCATGAGGCCGCTTTGAGGTGGACACGAAAAAAGTCCTCGACCACAACAGAACTTAATCAGAACAAACCTGGAATACTCTCTCCTTTTCTTTATGCCTTTGAAAATGCCAAACACTGTACATAGTGTACCATCACCATGATCACATCTGCCTTCCTCATTTTCTTTCTTTTGTACATATCATTCCTTCTCAATCTCTCTATCGGCCTTAATAAAACTGATGCAGCTCAATCTTAAACATTAAAGATGCCTGTGTTATTGTGAAGGATTTGTGATTCCTTCTCAAGGATTCATTTTGTTTTTTGTTTTGGAACGGATTAGAAATCATTTTGGGCAAAATGATGTTTTTCGTACAACTGTCTTTTCGAAAAGGTGTCCCTCATCTGTGAACACATGCATGCTTCTTTTTTTCAAACTGGTAAACAAATGACCTTACCTGATCATTGAAGGAAACATCCTATCAGATGATGATACTTCGGACGCTGAACATCTTCGCCCGCAACCGAATGGCCAATCCGCTGAGAAACAAACTGAAGACCAGTGATGATAAGGTGCTGCCCTTCTGCTATGAACTGGCCCTCGGCAGGCAGCTTCAGCAACTGCAGCAGCTCAGTCTCTCCACTCAGGCCAACAGTGACCAACAACAAGCGAAGCCAACTTCCACCCAGAGCTTGGAGGGCAATCCGTACTACTCTAAATATGCGGAGAAGATTAGAAAAGCCCAGGCGGAAAAGGAGGCAAGTGCGAAAGCCTCGACGACTGCCAACGCTGCCTCTGCTTTGAAGACTGCCTCTGAAGAGCCGTCGAAGGTGACATCGAAAGCGACGACGACGACGGCTCAAAGTCAGGAGCCAGAGACCAAGTCGGACAAAGCGAAAGGTACTTAACTGTACATCTTTTTATTTATCATCACTAACCTTTTTCAATTTTCCTTTTAGAAACTCACTCAAAAGCCGCCAGCGTCGAAAAAGAAAGCTCGTCTAAAACAACAACAACAACCGAAGCTACTTCTAAAGCAAAACCTCAGGAAAGGAAGCTTCGCAAGCAGCTGAACGACATCGTCAAGGTGGACCTGCTGGCGGTGAAGTCCGCGGAGGAGATCACCGCCATCTGGAACGCCTACCACGCCAAGCGGGACGGCATCTACGCGACCATTCCCGCGGCCACCTACCAGCGGCTCTTCGAGACGGCCACCAAGTACCCGGCCTTTATTCTGCCGCTGCCGCGGAACAGCTGTACCTCCACCTCCTCCTCCTCAACTTCCTCAACTTCTTCGGAAAACAGCTCTGACCAGCCTGTCGGCGGCTACGAGTTCTTCCTGCTCCAGTTCGAAGAGCACAGCGTCCACTTCACCCCCATGGCCGCCTACCACCTGCACCGAGAGCTGGCCCCCGTCTGTCTCACCCTGCACCACTACCCGGAGCTGTCCGCCAGCAAGGGCCTGGTCCTGCTCAACGCCGAGTTCGACTCGAACCTCCTCAACGCGCTCGAGTGTCAGTGTCTGGCCAATCAGCTGCAGCACTACTACACCACGGAGGACGCCGCCCCCCGCCTCTCGCTGCACCTCTTCAACCGCCAGCCAAAGGGCTTCGACCACATGCGGCTGATTGCCCACCTGGAGGCAGGTATGCAGGCCGCCGGGCCCCTGGGCTCGGTCAACCTCGAGCGCCAGGATTAGCGGAGGAGAAGGAGGTGTTGTTGTCATTTAGAAATAGAAAATGAGTTGATTGAAACTGCAATTATTAAAGTGTTGGTGATGATTGAACTTGAGGAGACAAGGACACCACCGCCGAAGTTGTACAATTGGCAATTTCAATATTTACTTTTGTTTCTACAGAACTCTCGTTCTCTCTTCGCTTCAGGTAATCTCTTTCTTTTAACAATTAAAAAGTAGTAGGTAATTGCGCTTTCTCTCTGCGCTCACTCAGGCAGAGAAAAGTGTCAGCCCGCCACTGCTTAGACAGGCTGGCGCAGGAGGTTCGAGAACTGGTTGAACTTCTTCCGGATCGACATGTCCACGTAGTGCTCGCCGTCAAAGTCGATGATCAGGCCGCCGAGGATGCTCTTGTCGACCTTGGTCGAGACGATCAGCTTCTTGCCTGAGGAATGGGGGAGGGAGAAATTGGCAAGTTAGAAAGACATTCTAAAAAAGCAAATCAACAAAGGCGTTCTTACCCTTGGCAAAGGCCTGCAGCACGTCGTTCAGCTCCTTCTGACTTTCGGCGTCGAGGGCCGAGGAGGCGGTGACGTTGACGTTGATCTCGCCACGAGAGACGGCCATGGTCTTGTTGAAGGCTCGCGCCACCGCGGGGAAGAGCTTCATGCGGCCGTTTTCGGAGAGGACGGCAATCAGATTTAGCGTCAGCTCGTCCAGGTTCAGCTTCGAGGCGAGCGACTTGCCGAGAATCTCTCGCTTCTGGGGCGCCTGCAACAACAAAGAACAAACAAAAGAAGTGTCAGAATTCAGGTGAACATCACCAAATAGAAAAACCCAAGTTTGCTGTTTTACCTTGATGAGCGGGTTGATGAGAAAGTCGCGGAACTTCTCGTCCTTCTGCTGCAGCTCCAGCAGCGTCTTCAGGTTCTTGTCCACCGCCTCCAGCTTGTTCTTCTTGGAGGCGGCGGAGTAGAGGGCGGAGGCGTAGCGGCCGTCGACGCCGAACATCGGCACCGGCGGCTTCACCATCTTCGAGGTGGCCGCTGCTGAGGCCATCGAGCAGCGCTGGCCGAGGGTGGTGGCCAGCTCGCGCAGCTGAAGCAGTGACTTGCTGGAGGCCATCGTTGAAGATTGGCTTTAGAAGATGGTGATGTTTCGAGGTTGCAGAAGAATAAGATTACCACGACGACGACCACTCAAACCACAAAGATCACAATGTGCGAGGAAAAGAAATGAAGGGAAAGAAGCAAAGCCGAAGAGGTGACCTCCGTAGACAAACACACAGCAGCTGCTCCGAGCACTATTCACACCCAGGTGGCGATTTCCACAGCGGCGGCGGCAGAAACGTGGGGAGAAGAGACTGCTGCTGCTGCTGCTTGCACGTGTTTTTATTTTCAGCCTTTCATCATCAGTGTTCAGTTATTTTCTTGAAGCACTTCTGAAGCAAAGAAGTTTCTGAATTATTATCACCACCACCGCCTCTACCGACGAATCAAAACATGGGAAAGCGAAGCCTTGCAGCGGTGAACGGCGAGGAGGAGGTTGTCGCGCAGCAGCAGCAGACGCCAGGCAAAAAGTCGAAGAAGATCAAGGTGGAGGCCGCCGATGAGACGCTGGATGAGACGATCATCACCGAGGAAAATGGCGGTGAAAATGGTGAAGCAACTAACGGCGGACAACCCAAAACGCGTCGCGACCTGATGGAGCTGCCATACGACACGAAGCTCTCCTTCGTCTNAGGCCGCCGATGAGACGCTGGATGAGACGATCATCACCGAGGAAAATGGCGGTGAAAATGGTGAAGCAACTAACGGCGGACAACCCAAAACGCGTCGCGACCTGATGGAGCTGCCATACGACACGAAGCTCTCCTTCGTCTCCGTGATCGCCAATCCAATGGCCAACAAGAAGCTCGGCAAGAAGCTCTTCAAGTTGATGCGCAAAGCGGGCAAGGTGTCGCGGAAGACGCTGCTTCGAATTGGCCTCAAGGACGTCCAGCTGCGAATTCGAAAGGGTAAGTAACGCCTCTGAACTTCTGTACAGTTTACCAGTTAGCTGACAACTGCTATTCTTTTTTGCCGACATAATCAGGTGAAAAGGGCATTGTTGTCTTTGCGGGCGATGTGACACCGATTGAGATCATGTGCCACCTGCCGGCAGTCTGCGAGGAGAAGGAGATTCCCTACATTTACGTTCCATTTAGAACTGACATCTCCACGGCCATCGGCATCCGCAGACCGGCGCTGATGGTGCTGATCAAGAAGCACGACGACTTTGCCGAGCTGTACGACGAGTGCGAGGCGAAAATCAAAGAGCAATCGTCGCCGGCTTAAGCTTCAGTTGAATCAGTGGAGATGATCATCAAGGAAAATTAGTCGAATGAACCTTCAAACCACTTCCTTTTACCAGTTCCATGACTGATACCTCCTTCCTTTTTTTGCACCACACACACTATTTCTGGTTTGTTTCATCCTGCTGTTGAAGCTCTCTTTTCAGGAGCGAAAGACAAGAGTCATTTATTGTCTTGATCTGCTCTCTGAAACAGTCTTCAATTCACCCCCTCCCCCTTCCTCTCTATCATCGTCTTTAAAAACACATTATTTACAACATCTCTTTTGCATCTGTTTATTGAGAGAGAGGTCTCCTCTGGTGCTCAAGTGCATCAAGTGCGCTTACAAGTAAAAAAGAGACTAAAAAAGATTAGATTAGCAGGCTAAGGATGAGGAGAGAAAAAAGCTATCATACATTCCATCTGTATCACAGAAGATGAGAAGGAGAAGGCGAAAGTGTTTGAGTAATGGTTTTGTGCGATGTAGTGTTGGTAGTGTTTGGTAGTGTGATCCTTGAGAAATGTCTGATGATTAGAAATTGGCC